CCTCAAAAAAATACTAACAAACCAAATCTCCTAAATCCAGAAGCACACTGAAAAAATTATTCACCATGATCAAGTGGAATTCATCCCAGGGATACAAGGATGAATCGATATACACACATTGATAAACGTGATACATCACATCAACAAAATGGAGGACAGAAACCCTATGATCATCTCAATATATGCAGAAAAAGCATTTGATGAAATTCAACATCTCTTTGTGACAGAAACTCTCACCAAATAAGGTATGGAAGGAATGTACCTCAACACAATAAAGGCCATACAAGACAAACCCACACCCAATATCATACTGAGTGAGGAAAAGTTGAAAGCTTTTCCCCTAAGATATGGAACAAGATAATGATGCTTACTTTTGTTCAACATAGTAATGAAAGTCCTGGCCGAAGCAAATAGGCAAGAGAAAGAAATAAAGGGCATCCAAATTGGAAAGAAGGAAGTCAAATTGTCCCTGTTTGCAGATGACATGAGCTTATATACAGAAAACCCTAAAAGCTCTATTGAATACTCCTTTGAACTGATAAATTTAGTAAAGTTGAAGGATACAAAACCAACATATAAAGATCAGTGGTATTTCTATACCCCACCAACAAACCATCAAAAGAAGAAATCAAGAAAGCAATCCCATTTACAATAGCTACAAAAAATAATACCTAGGAATAAATTTAGCCAAAGAGGTGAAATATCTCTACAAGGAAAACTATAAAACACTGATGAAAAAAATTGAGGAAGATACAAATAGACATCCCATGTTCATGGACTGGAAGACTTAACAGTGTGAAAATATCCATACTATCCAAAGTTATCTGTTGATTCAATGCACTCCCTATCAAAATACCAATAACATTCTTCACAGAAATGGAAAAAACAATCCTAAAATTTTTACAGAACCACAGAAGACCCCAAATAGCAAAAGGAATAAATCTGGAGGGATCACACTACCAGACTTCAAAATGAAGGCAATAGTAATCAAACCAGCATGGTTAAAAACATAAAAACAGATATGCAGACCAATGAGACAGAACAGAGAACCCCAGAATAAATCTACTTATTTACAGAAAACTGATATTTGACAAAGGTGCCAAGAACATTCATAGGGGAATGATAATCTCTTCAATAAACTGTGCCAGGAGAACTAGATATCAAAATACAGAAAAATGAAACTGGACTCCTATCTCTCACTGTAAAAAAGGTCAGTTCAAAATGGACTAAGAACTTAAATGTAAGACCCCAAACTATGAAACTACCAGAAGAAAACATGAGGGAAATGCTTCAGGACATTGGTCTGATGAAAGATTTTATGGATAAGACCTCAAAAGCCCAAGCAACTAAAGCAAATATAGGCAAATGGAATTCTATCAAACTGAAAATCTTTTGCACAGCAAAGGAAGCAATCAAGAGAGTGATGAGATAACCTGTAGAATGAGAGAAAACATTTGCAAATTATCTGACAAGGGATTAATATCCAGAATATATAAGGAACTTACCTCAATAGCAAAAATAAACAAATAAAAATAACCTACTTTAAAAATGGGCAAATGAGCTGAATAGACATCTCTGAAAAGAAGACATACAAACGGCCAACAGGTATATGGAACAATGCTCAACAGCACTAATCATCAGAGAAATGCAAATTAAAACCACAAGGTGATATGATCTCATATCTGTTAGAATAGCTATTATCAAAAAGATAAAAGATAATAAGTATTGGAGAGGATGTGGAGAAAAGCGAATCCCTGCACAATTTTGGTGGGAATGCAAATTTATGCAGTCATTTGGAGAATAATATGGAGGTTACCCAGAAAACTAAAAACAGAACTACCATATGATACAGCAATCCCACTACTGGGTATATATCCAAAAAGAATGAAATCAGTATGTCAAAGAGATATCTGCACTCTCATGGTCATTGCAGCACTATTCACAACAGCCAAGATATGAAATCAACTTAAGTGTCCATCAACAGATGAAATGATAAAGAAAATATGGTATATATACACAATGGAATGGTATTTAACCATAAACAAGAACAAAATTCTGTCATTTGTGGCAACATTGATGAGCTTGGAGGACATTATGTTAAGTGAAATAAGCCAGCCACAGGAATATAAATACTGCATGTTCTCATTCATATGTGGAAGCTTAAAAAGTTGATTTCATAGAAGTAGAGTATAGAATAGTGGTTAATAGAAGCACAGAGGGATGGGGGTGGAAAGATAGTCAAAGGTTGCTTAACAGATACTAATTACAGCTACATAGGAGGAATAGGGACTAGTGTTCCATAGAACTATAGAGTGACTATAATTAACAATTTATTATGTATTTTCAAATAGCTAGGAGAGCAGATTTTGAATGTACCAAACACAAAGAAATGATAACTGTTTGAGGTGATGCTAATTACCTCAATTTGATCATTATACATTGTATATATGAATCAAAATATCACACTGTACCCCATATGTACAATTATTACATCAACTAAAAATAATAATAAAAGGAAAAAATTTTGAGTTATAGACCATTATTGAAAGAAACATTGCATAAGAAAACTATTCAGGATGAAATAGACTTGGTACAATTATTATGTCAACTAAAAATAATAATAAAAGGAAAAAATTTTGAGTAATAGACCATTATTGAAAGAAAATTACATAAGAAAGCTATTCAAGATGAAAAAGGTTTGGATGGGCTAGGCCCCAACTGCTTGGCCTCCAACCAATTTTCACTGTGGCCCCCATAGTGGTAACTTGCAAAGTGTGGTCTGCAGGCCATCAATGCCAGAATTATTTGAAATCCCATATAAACAATACAAATTAAGGGGTGACATCAAAGACCTACTCACTCAGAAGCTGAGATTTACATAAACTCTTTTGGTAATTCTTTTGTTCATGAAAATTTTAAAACCAGATATTCTATAAGACGATTTGCCAATAATCTTTAAAAATGACGGTGTTGCGAATGACAAAGAAAGGCTGAGCCAATGTTCCAAATAAAGAAAATAAAGAAATATGATAATTCAATGCAATTCACGATCCTGAATTACACGTTGAATTAGATAGTAAGTTTGCTCTAAAGAACACTATTGGGACATTTGGCAAAACTGTATTACATATGATACAAAATCGTGTTGTATCAAGTTGAATTTCCTGATTTTAATGTAAGAGAATGTTCTTTTTCTTAGAGAATATAGGTGGAGGTTTTTAGGGGTACAAGAGCATGCTACAACTTGTGGATAATGGGAAAAAAGATAGACTGATTAATAGACAGAGAAAGTTTTTTTTACTATTCTTGAAATTATTTTAAAATTAAGTGTAAAAAGAAATTAAAATGAGAAAGAGAAAGCCTAAAGAAAAGCCAGTGCCAGTCTTAGGGCAGTGTCAGTCCAGCCCCTGTTAGATGACTGGGAATCACTAAAAGGCTTTAGGTGGTGATGTTGCATAGTTGGATTTGTGTTTCTGGTAAATCACTTTGATGGTAGTATGAAGGGTGTAATTACAATGACAATATTGATGGCAGGGAGACAGACTAGAAAACTGTAGTACTTCTGGTAAGTGGATGATGATAAGAATCTGAAAAGAATGATGGTAGTTAATGATGGTAGTCAAGATAGAGAAAAAGAGATTCTGAGGTAAAATCATCTGGATTCAGTGGTTGACTGGATATGGGCGACAGAAGTGAAAGTGAGAAAAAAGGATACCGATCAGATTTGTAGCTGGAGTGGTTATAGAGATAGTACTGCCATCAATGTTATTGCGAATATGTGAGGAAGAGTATTTAGTGTGGAATTAGATGAATTTGAATTTGGATATGTGGGACAGCTGTGTGGAGATGTATAGCAGATAGTTACATACAGGGTCTGAAGCTTTGACAAGAGGTCAAATACATGTATCTATGTATATGCATATGCATGTATGTATATATATGCACATATGTATTCACACATGCATATACATATAGAGTATAACAATATGACATAATAAAGATCAATAGTTCGTGAAAGGCTGAATCTAAGAAGGTTAAATTTAAATTTAACAGGAATAAATTTAAGGTCAAGCATAATGAACCAAATAGCAAGTGAAGAAGTAGAGAATGGAGGAAATACAACTTAGCAGTAGCACTATGAAAATAAAACATTAAAGGTTTGAATATATGAAATCCAATATGTCAATATTTTAGGATAATTTTCAAAAGAAGAAATATAATCTTAAACCGCATTAATGGAAACCTAGTATCTATAAAGGAGCAAATAAAAATGAAGATATATTTTGCACTCATTAGACAACATCTGCAATACTGTGCTCAGTTTCATTTAAGCTTGAATAGCAACAAAAAAAAGTAAAATAAAATGGTAAAGGGACTTGAATCACGGTGTTTTATGGATGGTTGAAAGAAACACGGAACGTTTCAGGGAAATAAATGACAACTTTTTAAACAATAGAGAAGGTATTACAATTGCATTATTTCAAGGAGAATTGGGGAAACTGCATCAGTCAAAATTATCTACCTTTAAGGTTTCTTCACTATTTCGTGTTATTAGAGAGGACAGATTAAAAGAAGTGGATGAAATTTACAAGGACATGTATTGTAAACTTTTTATTGTTAAAGTTTATTGAAAATAAACTTTTTCAATGCTATAGCTCTTTAGCAATGGAATGAATTATACTGCAGTTTAGTAAAGTACTTGTCACCAAGTGTAGTCAGCCAGAGGCTGGATGAGCCTGGGGCCTGTCATGAGCAGGTGAGACTAGAGCCCTCTCAAGGCCTCTCTCTGCTCTAAGACTTGGTGAGATGCGAATGAAAAGATTAGACAATGAGATGAATATTCTTTTGTTTTGGTTTTGACTGGATGAAATTAAAAGAAAGCAAATTGACATACAGTAAATTTCTATTGTTTCCCCTGTGTATTTCTAGAGCTAGAGAGAAAAATAACATTCAGATCATAGGGGACCACTCATTACTGTCTGTGTGCCTATTTTACTCACCCAAACCTTGATTAGGTAACTGTCTTCTGAAATAATCAACCATATAATCACCTGGTTCATTTGGCCTTGTATCTAGAGAAGATGATAAAGATCATAGTAGCATGAAAATAATTAATTCGCCCATTTACATTTCATATTTTTCATCTTTTTTCAAACTGACAAATGCTAGTAAATAACTTGTAGACAGCAGTTTAGTTCAGTGAAATTAAAATAAGTAGTCTTCAAATGTTACAAATTTTTGTTGCATTTAAAAATGTTCATACCTTTTGGGTCAGCGATTCCTTTTCTAGGAATTTGTTATAAAGAAATAATTAAGAAAACACACAAATAGAGAGTTATAAAGTTTTCATTGTTGTTTACAATAGGAAAAAAATTGGAAACAAAATGTAAGTTTAACACTGGGGATGGCTTAATTAATAGAATGGAATACTTTGCCACCATTTATTTACATATGAAGAGGTTTATAATATACTGGAATTTAAAATTAAAAAGTAAGTTGCAAAATAATGCGATGATTATGTGATTCATTAACATGGTGTGTATGTGGATGAATATGGGAAAGCGTTTAAAATAAATATTCTAAAATGTAATTTTTGCTTTCTTTTGCTTATCTTTATTTTTAATTTTTGACATTAAAATGTTAATAAAAGAATACATAAAAGCTACTTATAAAAAGCAGCTGAATATGCCTAGCTGACCATTATCAGAAAAAATAAAGTTTAAGTGAATTAACTATTTTAATTATAATAGTATTCTCCCCTTTCCTTGGCATGGTTCTTAGGTTCTTATCTCCATTTATATTTTTTATTATTTTGCTACATCATAAACTAAATGGATATATGAGTGTGTCTGTGTGTGTGTGTGTAATTAAGTTACCTCAAATCCTTTTGGGAAATAGGTAGATAAAAATGAACAATAAATATATATATACACACATAAAATTAAGTATTTTAGATAAAATTAAAATATTGCCTAAATTATATGATTCCCCCTGCAAAGGACCTCAACTAAAGATAAGATGACAGAAATTAAGAAAGAAAAAAAAAAACCAGAGATGCTAGAGAGTCAGTTAAAGATTCACATCAGACTTAGCAGGTGGCAGTAGAAGCCAATGAACAGTCTATGAATTAATTTGTCTCCTGGGCTCATCTTCTATTAAATTATGAAATGAGAGGAAAAAGATGGTTTTTAAAACATAAAATCCCTTTCCCTTTGGGGGCAAACTTTCAAAACCTTGGGGATAGCCCTCAAATACGTGGACCTCTCTATTATTCAGTGTAATTAACCACTCCTTTCTCTGTGCTCCCTGGGGACCCTGAACAGACTACTGGCATTGCGTCTATGACACTGCACTTGGCTTGTTGTTTCTTTCCTGATTAAAGGATGAGGTCCTGCAGGGACGAAATGGTATCATATACATTTAATATCCCTAGCACCAAGCACAGTGGCAGCCTCAAAGTTGTGGCACCAACAATTCCTAGATGAGTAAATGAATTAACTGTTTATGAGAAGGTAGAAGCAGAATATTACCTTTCACATCAGAATTTGATTGTTTGTGCCTTTGCAGTAAATGTCCTCTATCATAAACCTAATGGAATGTAGAATCAAGGAAAACAATGCTATTTTATCAACATGAAATGGGGTATATTTCCTATACGATTTATAGTATTGTGCATTTTTAACAAATATTCCTCATTTCATCCTTACAGGTTTAGAATGACCAAAATTAACTTATAAATCAGAATCTTCTAATATTTTTCACTACACTATTCTCCTGCATCAATGAGTAGAAGAAAATATTGATACTATATTTTGGCAGTAAAGGAGGCTTAAAATTTTTCCACATCACATAGAATTTATTTGTAATAAGAAAGAGACCAAAAAAACGGTATTCTTATAATCTCACTTAAGTTAGAAGAACAAACATATGGGAAGATAAAAGTGTGAAATGGGTGAAAAGATATAAAATTATGTAAAATATATAAACAGATTGCAAAACTGTGCTTATATATAAAAAGATGAGGCCGGGCACGGTGCACACCTGTAATCCCAGTACTTAGGGAGGCCGAGGCGGGCGGATCACTTGAGGTCAGGAGTTCAAGACAAGCCTGGCCAACATGGTGAAACCCCATTTCTACTAAAAAAAAAAAATTAGTGGGGCGTGGTGGCAGGCACCTGTAATCCCAGCTACTTGGAAGGCTGAGACAGGAGAATTGCTTGAACCTGGGAGGCAGAGGTTGCAGTGAGCTGAGATCATGCTGCTGCACTCCAGCCTGGGCGACAGAGCTAGACTCCATCTCAAAAAACGAAACAAAAACAAAAACAACCCATAATAAAAGTAGACTATGAAATGGAGTTAAAAGCTCAAACCCACCTCTTCATGTATATAATTGATTGGCAGCAAAAAAAATGGGCAAAATCAGTATGAAAATGGGAGAAAAATGTAAATATCAAAATTTGATTATTGAAGAAAGAAACAGTCTAGAAAAAATTACACAAATTTAAAAGTAGTGATATTATGTAATCACCAGGCATTGGCAAGACAAGGAGTGAAATCAGGCTGAAGAAAATTAGTAAGACTTGATTTGATAAACTCTTGTAATTTTTGGCTCCCATCTCTTGAGTGAAATGATTCTGTGAGCCATAATAAACGATTACACTTGTCCTACAGAAAAATATCACCAGGTCAGTGATCTTATGTACATGAGCTACAATTTCTAATCACAGTAATTTATAATTGTTTTTGTTGAAAGTCTTCAGAATCAACAAGTGAGTGTCATGGTGGGAAACAAAGTTAACTGAAATATTTTAAAAATAATTTACCAATATTATTTTAGGGATGTATTGATATAAGCAAACAAAGTAAGAAATAGTCAGTTCAAGAGCATGAATTTAAGTTGTCCTCAGCCATTTACCTGAGTGAAAATGAGATTGTTCACTCTTTCTATGAAAGACGGGTAGGAATTTCAAGGTAAGTGGCCACAATCTCCTGTTAGCTTATGGGCAGACTTAGAATGTATGCAACTTGCTCAAAGCATTTGACCAAATGAAGATTATTTTCCATTTGGAAGTATCTAACATTAAATATAATGATTTCATACAATTTTAAAAGCTCCAATCAAGAAAGATGCAAATACATGAGCATTTAATGTAAAGGGATTTATAATATTTTACATTAAATGTAGCTTGGATAGGTGAAGAAAACCACTCTATGGATATATTTGTGAGAACTAAATAAATATGTGTCTTGCAATACATACATTAAAAAAATCCCCTAACAAAACCTATTTTGGTTATTGGGTCCTGCAAATGACTTAACACAGGGGTATCAATGAGAGGATGTGTTTACCAAAAAAAATTTTAATTCCTATTCATATTACATTCCTGAAGTAATGTAATTCTAGAAGGGAGAGCAGAGGGAAAGGAGCATCACTCCTTTATAGCCATCTCTGCTCCCTGCAGTACTGAGCCTCTGATGTTGGTCCTCAGGGGTACAGACTTAGGTATATCCACATTCACTTGGGATGACAGTGCTAAGGCAGGGCTCTCTTTGTCTCTTTCCCTGACCACATTCAGCTCTGCTCTTCAGACTAATCCAATCAAATCTGGACTTCTTCAAAAGGATAGTTGCAGAGGTCAGTGTTTAAGATTTTTTCTGACTCCAGTAAGGCTCCTCCTAGCTGTCTCTTTCTCCAGTTCTCTCTGGCAAACTAGTCAGTATTCAATTTAGCTTGTAGCTCCAATGAATCTACTGGTGTTGTTACAGTAGGTAGCTAATAAGGCATGAGCAGGGCAGGAGAGGGCTCCACCAAAACCCCACTAGGAATGTCAGGCATCAGGTGATGGTCAGGCGGTTGTTAACTGTCTCTCTAAAATAGTAATTGGTTGCAGCCAGCAGCAGGGAAAGGTAGTCTTCCTACAGATAGGAAACACCTGAGACTGGTGATCAGCTGCTTCCTGATGAGATCTCAGGAGTGCGCTCAAGCATGCGTAGTAAGAAACAAAATGGCAGAATTTAACTGGTATATTAACTTTTTAAGATTTGACTCCGGGGCATGAGGCAGAAAAAGAGGCTGAAGCAAGTTTTAGGGCAGGAGTGGAAGGCAAGAATTGACGCTGCTGCAGACCCGTACAGATTTGCTGCTGGTAAGATAACTTCCACCAGTAATATATTTGTCCTCCAGAATTTTTTTTAAAGCCATAATTGCACTGGTTTTGAGACTGTCCTTAAGCTTAACTTCTCTTTTTCTGGAAGAGATTAGGAACTATCTGTTTTATGACCTAGTTTTTCATCAGGGCAAAATTTATAAGCTATGGCTTATGAGCTGGGGGTGGCGGAAATAGCACTCTTCCCTCCAAGTGGATACCCTGCTTTAGGAGCTGAACTGTAGGTGCAGGGGAGGCAGTAGCCTTAGGTCTCCTCCATTTGCCTCTCCCATTGTGGAACCATCATTTTACAAACCAAGATAAGGGCAATCAGCCCAAGAATGCTCAGTGGTGGAGCACCTGAAGTAGAGCCTCTGTCTCATCAATGGGGACTGGGAGAGGAAGGCAGCCCCCATCTCTTGTCGGCACTCACCTGACTTAGCAACAGGCAGCTGGGGGAAGAATAAGAAATACTGATATTCTGCCCCTCCTGGGATAGCCCTTTGGTAGCTCTGGGGAGAGGGAGCCCTAACTTCTTGTCTACACTAGTGTGGAGTTTCTGTCTTACTGAGCTGGGGAGTCCGGTGGGGGGAGGGGAAGAGGCAGTCTTGATTGAAATACCACAGGCTCTCACAGTTTTAAATGAATTTTAGTAGACTTTCTTGAATAGATTTTTGTTTCACTTGCTGTATAACCTTCAGACCATTTCAGAGACTTTAAATATCTGTTGTTGTTTGTTGTTGTTGTGGATAATTTCACTAGTTTTGCTGGTGAATGGGTTTGCAGAGCTCTTCCTGCTGTCATGGTAGAAGCTGATCTTTCAGTTCCACTGTTTTTATTTTTATACCCTTATATTCCCATTTAATTTTTCTTAATTTCTTTATTCTTGCTACCCTGGATGCATCTTTGTAAGCTTCCTCAAATACTTTTTAGAGTAAGGTAAAAGTACAAATGAAATTTAAATATGGCATCTTAATAAGGCCCACCTCTCATCTGTCAAGGATCTTTTGTGTTTTTATAAACAGTAAATAATATGAACAAAATTTTACTTCTCCTGGGGGAAAATTCGGGTATAAGAAGTGTAAGAGAAAATAACTTGCCATTCTCTTTCATTCATTTAAAAAACTTTTAATAACTAGATCAGTGAAGATTTACCTCTTGTCCTTCTCTGGCATTTTGGTGGCTTGCTGTAGTAGAATTCCTTTCCTTCTTTGTTTTCAAATGTTTTTTCTAGTAAAAGAATCATACTTAAAATCAATATTTAATCAACATATCAAAGAGTACATATGCAGACATGAGACTGTTATGAGATTCCCACTTATAAGAAGATGAGAAGTAATTTATTCCTCCCACTAAGTACAACCAAAAATTCTGGGTATTACATAAGAAACTCTAAAAGATGGAAAGGAGAAGGAGACTAGCTAGGGAGTTCAAGGCCAGAAGAGTGGCATGATGATGAGTTCACTGTGTTTCCTTTTTGCTTCATACGTTCTCACTTTAAAGCTGGAGAGGCTGGCAATCCAGAAATTCCAATGAATGCAATTTTTAAAAATCCCTACATAAGCCTGTTCCTTCTAGCCCAAGGACCAGGAGAGGGACAGCCTAAAGAGACCAAAACCTTTTAGATAGTAACTGTTCTACTCCAGCCTAACACCACAGAAATGACTGTGACTCCTACACCCACCCATGCCAACAAAAGCTGAGTGGGAATGCCCCAATCCCTTCTTCAAGGTAGTGTCAGGGAAGGCTAAGCAGGGGACCAGGCAAATACGCATGTGAAAAGATATTCAACATGGTTGAACTGTTATGGAAATGCAAATTAAAACTACAATGAGATAACACACTTGTCAGAATGGCTAAAATAGAAAATAGTGGCAACACCAAATTTCAGTGAGGATGCATAGAAAATGGATTACTCATAAACTGCTTTTGGGAATGGAAAATTGTACATCCATTTTGGAAAACAGTTTGGCAGTCTGTTAAAGAATTAAACATGTATGTACCATAACTACCATACCATCTACCAATTGAACTCTTGGGTTTTTATCTCAGGGAAATGAAGACTGATTTCACATAAACCTGTACACTAATGTTATGTTCATAATGGCCCGAAACTGAAAACAACCCACATGTTCTTCAACAGGTGAATGGTTAAATAGGCTATGGTAAATCCATATCGTGGAATACTGCACAGAAATAAAAAGGAAGAAACTGTGGATGTATGCATCAACTTGGGGGTGGGGGATGAGTATTCCAAGAGGTAGGCCAACTGATAAAAGCCAATCCCAGCATATTACATATTGTGTGATTTCACAGGGATGTGGAAAAACATCTGTGAATGATACATTTACAGAAATACGGAACAGATTTGTGGTTGCCAGGGGATAACTGCAAGGTAAGGACAGCAGGGAGTGGGTATGGCTTTAAGAGGGCAATATGAGGGATCCTTATGGTCATGGAAATGGTCAGCATTTTGACTGCACGAATATAAATATCCTTATTGTAACACGGTGCTATAGTTTTGCAAGATGTTACCATTAGGGGAAACAGAAAACAGGGTCCCTGGCATCTCTCTCAATTATTTCTTACAACAGCAAGTTAATCAAAATTAAAAGTTTAATTTTTAAAAGTTAGAATTTAATTGGTATTATGTTTTATCTGTTTATTCTTTAAAAGTTAACATTTTTATAATGCTAGAAAAATATCTTGATAAAGATACCTATACCCAAAATATGGCACATAATCAATGTCTGACCATTGTAGATCGGATTCATTTAGTTTTTGAAAATGATCACACAGAATACAAACTTGCTCTTTTTACTGTTATTTTTTACTCCAGAGGGTGTGTGTGTATGTATAACTGCCTGAATTGTGGGCATGGGTATGAATATTTATCCATGAGTGTCCTGATATATATATAACTTGGAAAGACAAGGTGTTTGTGAAGTAAAGACTTGCATGGTATTTTAACAAACCCACTAGAATATTTGAGTATAATCCTTTAAAGTATTGAGGATGGAGAAAGGAGAAAGGAAAAGATTGGCAAATGGAGGGAAAGGGAGAATGTGATGGCACAGGAGAGAATATGGGAGGAGGTAAAACATTTATTCTTGTGCTACGTGATTGTTTAAAATTTTTTTGAATTTGGACTTTGTTCAAATTTGTTGTTCATGTCCCCAGAACTCATTCCCTCTTCTTCTGGCAACTGTCTCTAATTTTGTTAGGGAATTTAATCCTACCCACTCTCAGTTCTTGGAGTCTGGGTGAATCCTATGAGGGTTTGTCAAAGAACCCAGGCTGAAGCCAATCAGCACAGTCCATCCTGTTAGTCACAGTGAGTGATTTATGGGTTGACACATGTCTAAACCAGCCTGATAAGAATCATCTTTGCTTTTTTCCCTCCAGCTTTATTGAGGTCTAAATTGACAAATAAAAATTGTATATATTTAAGGTGTACATGATGTTTTAAGTATACATTTTGAAATTATTACCACAATCAAGCTAATTAATACATCTATCACCTCACATAGTTACCACTTATTTTGCTTTTCGTGATGAGAATACTTAAGACCCATTCTCTTAGCAAATTTCAAGTATAAAAAACAATATTATTAACTATAGTCATCACGTTGTACATTAGGTCTTCAAAATGTATTCATCTTACAACTGCAAGTTTATACCCTTGACTAACATCTCCCTGACCCCTGGTAATGACCTTCTATTCTCTATTATGTCAACTTTTTTAGATTTCACATAAAAGTGAGATCATGTACTATTTGTCTTTCTGTGTTTGGCTTATTTTACGGAACATAATGTCCTCTAGGTTCAAAGGCTAAATGATATTCCAGTATGTACACACACATACACATACCCCTCATCTTCTTTATCCGTTCATCCATTGATAGACACTTGTTTCTGCATCTTGGCTATTGTGAATAGTACTGCAATAAACATGGGAGTGCTGATATCTCTTTAGTGTCTGGATTTCCATTCTTTTAGATAAATACCAGAAGGGTGAATACTGTATCATACAGTAATTCACTTTTAAACTTTTTTGGAGGAAACTCCATATTGTTTTCCATAATGGCTGTACCAATTTACATTCTCACCAACAGGATATAAAGGCTTCATTTTCTCCACATCCTTGCAAACACAGTTTTTTAACTTTTTGACCTAGCAGGCGTGAGATGATATCTCATTATGGTTTTGATTTGAATTTCTCTGATGATTAGTGATGTTGAACAACTTTTCATATAATTGTTGGCCATTTATACGTCTTCCTTGGATAAATGTCTATTCGAGTATGTAGCCCATTTTAAAATCAGCTTAGTGGGTGTTTTTGCTATTAAGTTGTAGGAGTTCCTAAAAATTTTGGAGATTACCCCCATTCAGATATATGATTCATAAGTATTTTCTTCCATTCCATAGGTTGCCTTTTCCTGCTATTAAATATTTTCTTTGTTGTACAGAAGCTTTTTAGTTTGTTAAAGTCCCACTTGTTTGTGTTTGTTTTTGTTGTCTATGCTTTTGGTGTTACAGCCATGAAATTATTGTCAAGATCAATGTCCTGGTGCTTTCCCCTATGTTTCTTCTAGGAGTTTTATGGTTTTGGGTCTTATGTTTAAGTGTTTAGCCCATCTTGAGTTGACTTTTTGTGTAGTATGAAGGTCCAGTTTCATTTTGTTTTATGTATATATCCAGTTTCCCAACACCATTTTTTTTCTTTGACACAGGGTCTCATTCTGTTGCTCAGGCTCAAGTGCAGTGGCCCAATCATGACTTACTGCAGCCTTGACCTCCCGGGTTCATTGATCCTCCCACCTCAGCCTCCTGAGAAGCTGGGACTATAGGCATGAGCCACCATGCCCAGATAATTTTCTTATTTTTTGTAGAGATGAAGTCTCACTCTGTTGCCCAGGCTGGTCTCAAACTCCTAAGCGCAAGTGATTCTCCTGCCTTGGCCTCCAAAAGTGCTGGGATTACAGGTGTGAGCCACCACACTTGGCCACCAACACCATTTTTTCAAGAGACTATCTTTTCTTCATTGTGTATTCTTAGTGCCCTGGTCAAAGATCAGTTGACTGTATATGCATGGTTTTACTTCTGGGCTTTCTATTTTGCTTCATTGTGCTGTGTGTCTGTTCATATGCCAGTGTCATATACTTTTGGTTATTGTAGCTTTGTAACATATTTTAAAATCAGGAAGTGTGATGCCTCCAGCTTCGTTGTTCTTACTCAAGTTTGCTTTAGCTATTCAGGCTCTTTTGTCATTCTATACAAATTTTAGTACTGTTTGTTCTACTTCTGTGAAAAATGTCACTGAAATAGGTATTGCATTGAATTTGTAGAGAGCTTTGGGTAGTATGGACATTTTGACAATATTCTTCTGATTCATGAACACAAAATACTTTCCATTTATTTGTGTCTTCGATTTCATCAACATTTTAGTTTTCACTGAAGAGATCTTTTACCTATTTGTTAAAAATGTCAACATCTGCATTTTTGAGGGAACTACTATATAGGAGGATGTCTCAACTAGACTTAGTATGGTGAGGATGTGAGGCTGGATTTCTATAGTCATTTTACCACCATGAGAGGAAAGTCTGTCTGAGAATGGAACCAACCAAGAAAAGGCAGAAATGAGATGAAAGCAGGAGAAAAAACCCTCCAGGATCTTAATGACATCATTTGAGCCCCTCATTTAAGCCACGACAAAAGCCAGCCTTGTCCCTAGACTTTTTATTTAGTAATCCAACAAATATCCCTTTTGACTAAGCCATTTTGGAAGGATTTTTTTGCCTCTTGCAATGGAGAGAGTCCTGATACATCTTCAAAATATGGTTTAGTAGCTAGAGAACAAAATTAAGTTTGCTATTTTACCATTGTCCTCATGGAATGGAAACTCTAATCTCCAGATGCTCAGGTCCCAAATTCTAGAGACCACCTTCTCTCCTTTCTATTTTTCAATCTTATAAACATGTCATCAGCAGATTCTCTTAACACTATCTTGAAAATATGTCTAAAACCTAATCACTTCTCATTCCCTCTACTAGTATCACTTTGGTGCAGCCACCACTTTTATCTTGCCTGGATTATTATAAGAGCCCCCTAATTGGTCTCCCTTATGGGTCATCATTGTACTCTTAACACAGCAGCCAAGGTGACCCTGCTAACCACTTCAGGCAGATCATGTCATTCTTCTGATCAAAGATTTCCAAACTCAGAGGCAA